TCCTGTAATCCCAACTCTTTGGAAGGCTGAGGCAAGAGGATCATTTGAAGCCAGAAATTTGAGACTAATATGGGCAACAAAGCAAGACCCCTGACTCAACAGTTTTTTAAAAAAAGAAAAAAAGATTAATATTCTAATTAGACATGTCACAAGAGTTGGTGGCATCCCATATGAGAATAGAAGCAAGAACAAAGTTAAGTGAACTGCCTAATGTTAACGGTGACACAAGATCTTGATATTTGACTTCAAGCCAAATGCTTTTAAGTACTACATATATCTGTGTTCTACAATGTGAAACTTTGTCTTAAATTGCAAACAACAAAATAAGAGAGACTTTATAAAGTATTTCTGCAACAAATTTTCAGTCTTTTTGTGTAATCTTTATATGGGGGTAAAAGTTTTTTGGTTCTAAAAATGAGAAGAATACAAACAATTTTTTTAAAACTATGTAAACAGCCAGGCTCGGTGGCTCAGCCTGTAATCCCGTGCCTTTGGGAGGCTGAGGTGAGTGGACTGCCTGAGCCCGCGGGTTCGAGACCCGCCTGGGCAGGCGAGACCTCATCTCTACAATAAATCAAAAAATTAGCCGGGAGTGGTAGCGCGCGCCTATAATTCTGGCTACTTGGAAAGCTGAGGAGAAAGGATCGCCGGAGCCCAGCAGGTCGAGGCTGCGGTGGCCCGGGAGCGGCCACTGCTCTCCAGTCTGGGTGACAGAGTGAGACTCCAACTCAAAAAAATAAAAATAAAAATAAAAGCCAAATGAAAAGACTCTCAGCCCAGTCCCGTAGCAGTACCCACCACTTCTGGCTGGGTGCCTGCTTGCTGATGTGAGCCAGGCTGCCCTTCCCCCAGCAGCGGCCCTCCTCGCCCTCCTGCTTAACCCGCAGTGCAACTGTTTCCTGGTGGAGATTCTTAAGGGCGCCATCCAAGGCTCCCTCCAGCAGCTTGGCCCACCTCCGCTTAGAACTAGACCTGACAGGCCCTCTGCCTGCACACTCACTCTGCTGTGGGCCGCGCTCCTACTGGTCCAAATCTGGGAAGAGACTGGCTCAGGCACGTTACAGGGCTGGGGTTGACCCTGCGCCATCTTCTCACTCTCCTGAACCTTAGGCTTCCAGCTTGGGGCTTGCATCTTCCATTATGCGGTCAGCTTCCCCAGGGGCAAACCGGTGGCAAAGCGACCCCCGTCGATGTCACAGACACAGCCTGAGAGACTCCCAGCAGAGCCCCTGTGCTCAGCCCTGTGGTGGGGATGGTCCACCAGTTGCTGCAGCACAGAGAAGGGTGGAGGCAGGGAGCGGGAGACCTTCCTCTTTCCCTCAATCCTAAAGCTCTGGGGGTGTATAAGGAACACGGGTCTGGCTCTTGAGGGAAGCTGGAGAAATGGGGAGTTGGGGGAGGAAGCTGGGCTCCCTAAGAGCAGGACCAACCAGAATGGAAGTGCTTTGACCCCTGGCTTTATTTGACTTGGAGCTTGATTTATTGGCAGGGAAGTTGGCTCTACACCATCTGTTTGCATCTCTTAACCACTGAAATCCAGTTCGTCCTAATACTTCCCAAAGCAAGGCTCCTAGATTTGGTGCTGCTTTATTGTGCCTTAGAGTTTGGAGCCAGAAAATTGGATCTGAATCCTGGTTTCACTACTACCAGCTGTATGACCTTGAACACGTCACTTAGACAAGTGGAACCTCAGTTCTCTCAGCTGTAAAATGGGGATAATAGTATGCACCTCACTGGGTTGCCAAGGAGGTTGGATGAGAATTAATGCCAAGTTCAAGGCCTTGTCCAAAGGAAGGCTCTGTAAACCTGAGCAGGCCATTCCTCAGGTAGTGTGAGGGAGGTGGGGGACACAGTCCCCCTCAGCTTCCTCCCCCCAAATCTGGCATCCTCCTGACTTTCTTTCCTGAGATCAGGCAACAAGGAGGAAGACCTCGGACAAGGCAGGACACATTCGCCTCCATGGCTCCACGGGGAAGGGCTGCCATCAACTGCAGTGTTATCAAAATGAGTTAGCAGACAGGGTGAGGCATCACCACCCACAACCACCCTGGGTCGAATACTGGAACTCATCCCCTTTCTCATTGTCCTGCAGCCTTCTGGCCCCAGCCCTTGGGCCCAATGCTGGACAATATGAGTGCAGAAGAAGTCGTCATTACATGGTTCTCTGATGTCTGATCCTTCCGGGAACTGTGTTTTATTACTAGACCCATTTTACAAATGAGGTAGAGACAGTAACAAAGCGAGTCTTTGGGTTCTAAGTCCTGCTGCCCAGGGCTGCCTCCGTATGGGCGAGGATCTGGGTCTGTGGGCTGCATTGTCACTGGGAATTCGAGTTCTGAGTTTTCCCCTTCTTTGGGGGAGGGGGTGTAGGGAAGAGAGGGCCCAAGAGGTCAGCAGTGCGGGAAGAGGCTGTTTGTGCCCAAATCCCCACTGGGAAGTGTCACAGGCCTAAGACAAACTCTCCCTCATTCAGGAGCTCTCCATTAGACAGAGGAAGAGGGGGAAAGTCAAGGTTCCTAGGCCTTTCGGCCACTACAGAGGGATTAGGACTAGAGTCTCACCGTCACTGGACATGACCACGGAAACCTTCCAATCCAACCTCCTTATTTCAGAGCCGAAGCCACTGATACCGGGTGGAAGTGACTTTTTTTCTTTTTCTTTTTTTTTTGAATTGGAGTCTCTGTCGCCCAGACTGGAGTGTAGTGGCACACTCATGGCCACCCCAGCGTCGACCTGCTGGGCTCAGACGAGCCTTCGGCCTCAGCTTTCCAAGTAGCCGGAACTACAGGCGCGCACGACCACGCCCAGCTGATTTTTGATTTATTGTAGAGACGAGGTCTGGGGCTGGTCTCGACCCCGCGGGCTCAGGCAATCCACTCGCCTCGGCCTCCCAAAGTGCTGGGATTACATGCTGAGCCACCGAGCCCGGCCGGAAGTGACTTTTTCACATGCTCACACAGTAAATCAGCGGCAGGCGAATCGCCTTAGAGACTCTCGTTCGAGTGCTCCTCCCTCGGGCCCCTCGGTTCGGTGGGACGTGTCTTCTGCTTCACCTCGCCTCTATTCGGCGCCACGGCCAGGCGCAAGCCAGGCCTAGAGGGCGGCGGGGGGCAAACAGAGGGTGGGCCCGGGAGGCTGAGGGCGGGGACGGGGGCGGAG